TTTTTGGTGTCTGCCCCCAGTGGCTAAGGTTGGTTCAGTGGGTTGTGTAGGCTTTCTGGTGGTGGGGACTAGTGCCTGTGTTCTGGTGGATGAGGCTGGATCTTGTCTTTCTGGTGGGCAGGACTGTGCCCAGTGGTGTGTTTTGGGATGCCTGTGACCTTATTATTATTTTAGGCAGCCTCTCTGCTAATGGGTGGGGTTGTGTTCCTGTGTTGCTAGTTGTTTGTCATATGGTGTCCTGCACTGTCGCTTGCTGGTCATTGAGTGGAGCTGGGTCTTAGCGCTGAGATGGAGATCTCTGGGAGAGCTTTCGCTCTTTGATATTATGTGGAGCCGGGTGGTCTCTGGTGAACTGATGTCCTGAACTCGGCTCCCCCACCTCAGAGGCACAGACCTGACACCTGGCTGGAGCACCAAGACCCTGTCAGCCACACGGCTCAGAAGAAAAGGGAGAAAAAAAGAAAGAAATAAAAAATAAAATAAAGTTATTAAAATAAAAAATAATTATTAAAAATTAAAGAGCAATAAAAAAAGAAAAAAAAGAAAGAAGAGAGCAACCAAACCAAAAACAAATCCACCAATGATAACAAGCACTAAAAACTTAGTAAAAAAAAACACACAAAAAAACACAGACAGACAGAACCATAGGACAAATGATAAAAGCAAAGCTATACAGACAAAACCACACAATGAAGCATACACACACACACTCACAAAAAGACAAAAAGGAAAAAAACATATATATCGTTGCTCCCAAAGTCCACTGCCTCAATTTTGGGATGATTCGTTGTCGATTCAGGTATTCCACAGATTCAGGGTACATCAAGTTGATTGTGGAGATTTAATCCGCTGCTCCTGAGGCTGCTGGGAGAGATTTCCCTTTCTCTTCTGTGTTTGCACAGCTCCTGGGGTTCAGCTTTGCATTGGCCCCACCTCTGCGTGTAGGTCGCCTGAGGGCGTCTGTTCCTGCCCAGACAGGACGGGGTTAAGTAGCAGCTGATTAGGGGGATTTGGTCACTCAGGCCGGGGGGAGGGAGGGGTATGGAATGTGGGGCGGGCCTGCAGCGGTAGAGGCTGGCATGACGTTGCAGCAGCCTGAGGCGTGCCGTGTGTTCTCCTGGGGAAGTTGTCCCTGGATCACGGGACCCTGGCAGTGGCGGGCTACACAGGCTCCCGGGAGGGGAGGTGGGGATAGTGACCTGTGCTTGCACACAGGCTTCTTGGTGGCTGCAGCAGCAGCCTTAGCATCTCATGCCCGTCTCTGGGGTCCGCGCTGATAGCCACAGCCCGCGCCCATCTCTGGAGCTCGTTTAGGCTGTGTTCTGAATCCCCTCTCCTCGCGCACCCTGAAACAATGGTCTCTTGCCTCTTAGGCAAGTCTAGACTTTTCCCAGACTCCCTCTCGGCTAGCTGTGGTGCACTAGCCCCCTTCACAACGTGTTCATGCAGCCAACCCCAGTCCTCTCCCTGGGATCCGACCTCCGAAGCCCAAGTCTCAGCTCCCAGCCCCCACCCATCCTGGCGGTTGAGCAAACAAGCCTCTCGGGCTGGTGAGTGCTGGTCGGCACCAATCCTCTGTGCGGGAATCTCTCCGCTTTGCCCTCCGCACCCCTGTTGCTGCGATCTCCTCCGTGGCTCCGAAGCTTCCCCCTCGCCACTCCCCGTCTCCGCCAGTGAAGGGGTTTCCTAGTGTGTGGAAACCTTTCCTCCTTCACAGCTCCCTCCCACTGTTGCAGGTCCCGTCCCTATCCTTTTGTTTCTGTTTATTCTTTTTTCTTTTGCCCTACCAAGGTACGTGGGGGAGTTTCTTGCCTTTTGGGAAGTCTGAGGTCTTCTGCCAGCATTCAGTAGGTGTTCTGTAGGAGTTGTTCCACGTGTAGATGTATTTCTGATGTATCTGTGGGGAGGAAGGTCAACTCCATGTCTTACTCTTCCGCCATCTTGAAGGTCTCTTCCACCCTGCGCATTTTGAGGCCTCCCAGTTTGGCTGGTGGGAACAGACACTGTTCCCAGCCCCGCATGACTGCCCAGCACTGATCCCTTGAATCCTTCGGACAGCTGTTTCCAGGCCTTGCTTGTTTCCTCATATGTGCTCAGGTCAGCTGAATACTTGAGGCGTCCCTCTGCAGACCTTAGGTGTCTCTCTCTGTGCAGCTCTCTCCTTCTCTGGTGCTATGGCCTGGGAGCTCTAGGTGCCTTGCCCTCCCTGGCCTCTCAGCTCCTTCTCAACCCAGGGAGTCCACTGGTTGAGGGAGTCAACTGGATTTCTCCTGTGTGTCCCTGGAAACTCTCTCAAGCCAGTGACCTGGGGCAATCCATAGGGCTCATCTCATTTGTTTTCCATCTCAGGTATGACTCTCCCTCCTTGTCTTATGTCCAGTGTCTTAAAAATTGTGGTTTCATATATGTTGTTCATTTTCTGTTCTTGCTGTTTCAGGCAGGAGAGAAAATCTGGTCCCTGTGACTTCATCTTGGCTGGAAATACAGTGGTGAACAAATAGACTTCACAGTATATCAATATAATCTTTCATGAGTTTGGTTAGCATTAAGCAGTCCTTGAGAATCTGACCATGGAATAATGGTGTTTCTGGACCTGTGAAGCTCAAGACTAGATCCTGGAACCTGGCATGTTGTTCCTGCCATCCCTGAGTAAACAGCTGGTCTCTTTCTGAGGTCTTCATTTCTTTTTGCTAACTACAATACTAATTCTGTCTTCATTTGTGAAAGGGGAAGTTTCATTTATTTAGCATAAATGAATCTTATTATTTTAATGATGAATCTCATTTCAAAGAATAAAGTACAGAAAAAAACAACATTATCTGTTTCTAGACATTGTCTGTTTATATACACACACACACATAATATTCAGAGAGCATATATACGTATGTATGTGTGTGTATGTATCTATGGTCTCTGAATATTTTTTCAAAGTAAACTTTGATGACATCCAATGAAGCAGTTTATGAGGTAGGAAACTGTTGCAATCAGATGATCATTTTCCTCACAAATACTAAGATAAAGTATCTATAAAATGAGTGTTTTCATAAATTGTGCTGAAAAACCAGTGCTATCCATCTGGCAAAGATACACTAAACTCGAAGTTATACTTAAAAAGCCAACGTACTTACCATATGTCTCAATAATTTTAAGGTAAAATCTACTTGAAACAACATGTCTGGGACACATACACCATATCCAGTTGCCCAGAAGTTCATCTGTTAACCATTGTTCTGGCAGGGAGCATTGCTTTTTTTAAGTTTTGTAAAGCTCAAGTTTTTTTTTTCCATAAAAGACTGTTCAACATTGATAAACCTTAATCCTCTTAAAGTTTAAATTGTCTCCAACATACAGTATTAAGAAAAAATATTCCATGAAAAACTAATTATAGTTTACTTTATTTATACACGTAAAACTCTGAACAAATGAATATATTATTCCATGGAGACAAAGTGACTTTCCTTTTGAACAGGAACTATGCTCTGTTTGTTTACTTGGGCAATCTTTTATCAAGTGAAGCCATTTCATAATTCAACTCAGCCCTCTTGTGTACTTTGGTGAACTTTTTCCAGATTCTCTATTGCGATTCAGATCCTTTTCTTTCTTTTTTTTTTTTTTTGATTCAGATCCTTATAATGAAGTTTGTATTGAAGTAATAATATAAAATCACAAAAACTATGGCAACGAAGAGGATGAATTTACAGAGAAAGTATGTTTTAAAGCTTTGCTTTCTGAATTCTAGACCTGAATTAAATCCTATTAAATCACCATTTTCACAGGATGTAAAAGTCTGGTGTCTGTGTATATATGTTGGGTTTTTTTTTATCATAATTTTTAACTCAGTCACCCTCTTAATTAAGTATATAAGCTGCTTTTCTTACCTTTTAGGAATGTTGGGAACACAAATTGAGTAATGTATGTGAAAAAAACTTTATGTCATTAGCTGGAAAGGAAGTCTTTCAGTCTAAGTTTATGTTATCCTTATTATGGAAAGACAAAGCCATATTTGGTGATGTCAGTGGTGTGGGGGGAAGGGCAATGCCAGTCAGAGCCACTGGGATCAGGACTTTTGTCTGAAAGAACTTATAAAAGCGCGATCAGATTTAGTTCTTTCTCCCCAGAGGTCCTGCTAGATCTCCATGTTCTTATCCAGATACTGAACCAGCAGGTAGTACATAAATGTCCATAGTTATAAGATTATGCAGAAGCCGCATAGCACAGGGAGATCAGCTCGGTGACCACCTAGAGGGGTGGGATAGGGAGGGTGGGAGGGAGACGCAAGAGGGAGGAGATAATATGTGTACATATTGCTGAATCACTTTGTTATACAGCAGAAACTAACACACCATTGTAAAGCAATTATACTCCAATAAAGATGTTAAAAAAAAAAAAGAATGGAAATGAGTGTAGTGGAAGTAATGATTTTGTGAAAACCAGAATAGAGAATTTTAACAGAGGAGACCAGGGGGAAAAATGAAGTTAGCACACCAAATAAATGTGCTATATGAGAATCATACACAAAGAAATATAATGTCTTAGTGTGCTCTGTTCATAAAATGAGAATGATTTAAGGAGAAAGGCTTTTCTACCTCGCCTCTCTCCTCTCCTCTCCCTCTCTGTTTCTTTAATAATTATTGCTCCAAAGGCAAGGTTATGAATTGCCTTGAGAAAAAGTCCAAGCTCTTTTGTGGCTGCTGTGGTTTGATTACATGAATTTCATTCACCACTGTGCTTTCGGTATAATTTCCCCATTAGAAGGGAATGCCTTTACCTGGAAAAAAATAATCCACAAATCAACATAACAATATTTGAGAGACTGACCAAGTCTAATTATGATAAAAATTGTTACAATTTAAAAAATTTAAGATGTTAAAAAATTTTAGAAGTTTTAGTATTTTATGTTTAATTTCCATTAATGTCCCATAGTTTATGGTGGGATGTGTTGATGCTGAAGCTCTTACTACAGTCTATTTTCAGTTGGTGGGAAGGCATACAATGTTTACCTTCACTGCTCTTTTTGGTGTTTCAGCCAAGATGGGTGGCAGAATTCCCTTGTAAAAACCGAACAACCTATTGGAGAAATAAAAAGATTTATATAAGTAAGGGAATTAGGAAACAGGTGATTGTGCTGTTGTTTATGGATAAAGCAACTAATCTTAAAGTATTCCCAATTATTCAATGTAGCACATCAGTCATGAAATCTTCCTTTGTTTTAATTCTAAAGTGAAGAGATTATGATATCTACTATGACATTCAGAAGAGGAATAAATGATACTGAGACTGGAACCCCTTAGGTAAGTTGCTAAACATAATCATGAGTTGTACCTTAAAGCTAAAGTCAGCCCTCCTTAATCTAAGGAATCTTGAATTTATTTTTCCAGTTGTGTGGTTGGTAGTAGTCTCAAGCTGTCTACCGTCTTGCATCTCCTCCCTGTGGTCACCAAATGAGGTTAGTGCTATACCTAAGCCCACTAGACTGAAACTTCTGAGGCTAACCAGGAGATGAAAACCTCAATTTTAGGTTTACTAACACAGGGGGACTAACAAACTCTATGGCTGTGGAACTAGGGCTCCCAGCTCTGTCCTGAATTAGTCATAATTTTTTTAACTTCCTTGGTGGAGATGGAAGGAGGTCAGGGAGGGCTAATTACAGGGACATACGCTGCTGACAGAAGAAATGTCAAACTCCCCTGCTGATATGCAATCTCACAGGGCATGGGACAGCTATTGTTGCCAATACTGAGGGACTCATGGTTACATATTCAGACATTTTTAGGAAAGAAAAGAATGAGTGCCATATGCTTATGATAAGTTTTATAAAAAGTCACCACTTACTTGTCGTTAAAATTTAAGATTCAAAATTTTATATTTGTCTGTCCTGGAATCTTTACATATATATATGCTATACCCTCATTTAAACCTGAAACTATTTCAACAGAAGAGAATATTCTGCATCATTTTCTGAGATAATCAGTTTCCCTGGTGAACCCATAAGTGGCTACAGATAAAGGCAGGACTCAACGTGTTCCTATTTTAGGATATACATTTAATGTCCTAGAGAAAGCTGGAACTTCTCTGATTGACCCATCAAACTTCACTCCAGCTCCCTTATTTGGGTTCTGCTTCTAGCTGAGCTTCTGGAACAATAACGTTAAGAATTTATTCAGATTAACCCACTGTGCCACCCAATCCAACATGGTGACCTCTTTTTTTTTTTTTTTTTTTTTTTTTTTTCAGCACGCGGGCCTCCCACAGCTGTGGCCTCTCCCGTTGCGGAGCACAGGCTCCGGACGCGCAGGCTCAGCGGCCATGGCTCAAGGGCCCAGCTGCTCCGCGGCATGTGGGTGTGCACGCATGTGTATGTAACCAGGACACAAATATTTGTTAAGATTATGGATTTTATGAAGAGGAAGAAAGGAATCAAATGATCCCCTGATGTGGTCTTATTTTGTCCACTATTTTCGACCTAATGAATAGTACTAGCATTTGTATATAGGAAGTAAAGCAGAATCTGCTTTGAAGAACTATGGGAATTCATGAATTCCCCCCACCTCCTTTCCATTCCAACTACTGATGCCTGAAATTCACTTGTAAAACTTAAATACTCTTTGTCATTTAAATTTCATTATAAATTAATTATTATATAATTTTCAGCATGAGAGTGATGAAGCATAGGTTTGGTCTTCCTAAAAGATAAATGTGATTTTCCTGAATAGAAGTTCTATATTTATAATAAAAGACATTATTAGTTCTGTTTTTCTTGGGCTGATTTTTTCACATCTGGAAGAGTATGTCTGGGTATAGGGGGGAAACAAAGAAGAACATTTAAGTAAGTAAAGCTTTTAGGACAGAGTGTCCTGATTAATAGAGGTACTTGAAATCCCATACAACGGAGAACAGATATAGGACGAACAGTTGCTCAGCCTGGAGAAGAAAGAGCTTAGGGACAAACATGAGGAACATGATGGATCTTTTGAAAAATGAGCATGTAGGAAAGAGATTAGACTTTCCTGTTTGTTTCCAGGTGGTAGAACTAGGACCAACAGGTTCAAGCAACAAGGAAAGACACATTTTTGGCTCAGTGGGAGCTTAATACGAGGAAGTACTTCTAATAATCTGAACTATCTGAAGATAGAATGGACTCTCTTGAAAAGTGTGAGTTCCTTTTGGTATGTGGTCAAGCGGTCTGGATGGCCACTCATCATGGATGCCAGAAATGGACGTACACAGCAATGGAAGGATTTGAGGGACCTCAAGCTTGGTTTACTCCAATCCTCAGATTTTGTTATTCTAAGAAAAAGAACAAGAAGACATGGGAAAGCACTTTTCTGAAGAGACAAACTCTGCATTACTTTAAACTTTTGCCTAACGTGGAGCACTGCTTCTCTGGAGGAGGACAGAAGTCTTATAAGCAACACAGAAGGTCTTCATTTTAAAAATGATGAGAGAAAATATTAAAAAGAGGTGTAAGGCAGGAGGGAAGACAGGCAGCTGGGAGAGCCATAAGGATTTAATCTGAAAAGAGCTGGGAGGTCCAGAGCCCTCTGCTTCATGTTGGCGATGCTTCCTTGATGCGTCCTCTTTCTCCACTCTCTGCTCTGCTCCTTTCATGTGCAATCATCTTCCCCTCCCCCACCAGCTCCAGCCATCCCACCATCCTGAACTCTCTAATGAGGAATGAAGAGCTTTAAAGGGAGATTCTCAAGGACCACGGGCAGCGTTTGCTGGCAAATGGGAAGCTAGAACTATGTACTTCCTTGCATTATTTTTACAGTATATCCATGCAATATCGGGCAACTATGGAATAGCCAGGCTGGCACCTCTTCTGCTGAGAATTGCCCCACCCAATTTTTTTTAAACCGCTGGAACCAACGTATTAGTACAATATGATACTGCTTGTAGGCAGTGGTTGACTGGGCATCTCGCTAAATGGATCCAAGTGGTATCCTGCCTCTGTGCCCCAGCTAATCTGACCCAAGCAGTGCTTTTCTCCAGGATTTTGGAATTGGAATTGAAAGGTCAGCCTCACTCTGTGTGGCTGAAGCTCTAAGATATAAAGCTAGAATATCAACAGCAGTCATGTTTTCTGTCCATCTGCAGTGATAAGAAAGAAGGAAGCCATCGTTCAGGGAAACAAAGAAGAAAGATAGAGAAGTTCTGGTACTGTGAGTGTGATCCTGCTGACAGGATTTCTTTAAGCCTAGTTACACCGTGACCCTTCTTAAATACTGACATTTCCCTTTGCTTTTGATCCTTTGAGATACCCAGTAACATTTATAATAAATTCCTTTATGTACTTACAACCCAAAGTCCCGGATCAGGAAATTGGTCCCTACAGCCAAAGTGGCTGCTGCTGTACCTCCGTACCACGCCCTCTCCCATGAAAAGCGTTCGGTCAGGTAAGAGTGGCACTTGGGCCAATCCAAAGAGTCACACCCAAAATGTGATCAAGAATGCAAATCTAAACTACAATGAGGTACCACCTCACACCAGTCAGAATGGACATAATTAAGAAGTCTACAAATAATAAGTGTTAGAGAGGGTGTGAAGAAAAGGGAACCCTCTTACACTGTTGGTGGGAATGTAAATTGGTGGAGTTATTATGGAAAACAGTATGGAGGTTCCTCAAACAACTAAAAATAGAGTTGCCGTATGATCCAGCAATCCCACTCCTGGGCATATGCCCAGACAAAGCTATAATTTGAAAAGATACATGCACCCCTATGTTCGTAGAAGCACTATTTATAATAGCCAAGGCATGGAAATAACCTAAATGTCCATCGACAGATGAATGGATAAAGAAGATGTGGTATATATGTACAATGGAATGCTACTCAGCTATAAAAAAGAATGAAATAATGCTGTTTGCAGCTACATGTACGGACCTAGAGATTATCATACTAAGCGAAGTAAGTCAGAAGGAGAAAGACAAATACCATATATCACTCATATGTGGAATCTAAAATATGACATGAACATATCTATGAAACAGAAACAGACTCATAGGCAGAGAATGGACTTGTGGTTGCCAAGGGGGAGAGGGGGTGAGGGAGGGAAGAATTGGGAGCTTGCGATTAGCAAACTACTATTTATAGGACGGATAAACAACAAGGTGCTACGGTATAGCAAAGGGAACTATGTTCAATATCCTGTGATAAACCAGAATGGAAAAGAATATGAAAACAAATATATATTGATACATGCATAACTGAATCAGTATGCTGTACGGCAGAAATTAATACAACATTGTAAATGTAAATCAACTATACTTCAACAAAATTTTTTTTAAAATGTGAGCAAGAGAACGTGGGTAAGGCCTCAAGCTGATGACATATTTTTCTGACTTGATTAGATAATTACTGGAAGCTTTCCTAATGTAAAGTATGATATACAGATTCTAAAAAACCAAAAGGACTTGTAATGTTTTATGAAGAAGATACTTTCTTTTTGGCTAAAGAACTGATGTTTGTACTCACATGCACTGTTCATTCTGCCAATTTTTTCTGTGTTCATGTAATTTTGGCTTGAAATACAGAGCATATAGCTTACCAGGACAATAAGCAGGGAAGTTAAGAGATTTGTGACACCCATATCAACATGCTTTATCCTGCTTACTTCCCAGGACATTCAGTCGACTCCCTGAATGAATGGAAAGTGAGATTCTAATGTCTACTGGAAAGACAGTAAAACCACCACGGTGGTTTGTTTTTTCTTGTTTTTTTTTTTTTTTTTTTTTTTTTTGCGGTACGCGGGCCTCTCACTGCTGTGGCCTCTCCCGTTGCAGAGCACAGGCTCTGGGCGCGCAGGCTCAGCGGCCATGGCTCACGCGCCCTGCCGCTCCACGGCATGTGGGATCTTCCCGGACCGGGGCACGAACCCGTGTCCCCTGCATCGGCAGGCGGACTCCCAACCACTGCGCCACCAGGGAAGGCCCACCACAGTGGTTTTAAGTTTTGACCCACATCAAGCCAACTGGAGAACTCTTTGGAAGAGACACAAGAACCAACGCAAGACCCCCCATAAAACAGTTGTATGAACTGTATGCAAGCCCTCATACATCGTTTCTCAGA